AAAAAAAAAAAAAAAAATTTTTTTTTGTGACTGAACATTTTTACTATTTGATTATACAAAATACACCTGACATTTTTTTTTTTTTTATGGGATTATATTCAATAGGATATTTGTTTCATTTTTTCATTCATTTTATATATTCATTCATTCATTCATTCATTTTTTTTATTTATTTTTGCTTTTTTTTTGTGAGATAAAAAAAAATTGGTAATAAGTGTGAATATTTTTATAATTGGCAAAACAAAAACAAAAAAAAGTGGCATCGATTTCGTTTTTATTTAAAAATAGAATTTTCTTAAAAACCAAAAATTGGAGGATAAAAAAAATCACAACATTATGTTTTATTATGTATTAAGATTTTAAGTTACATTTTTTTTCTATAAGATTTAATATATATATATGTTCACACATTAAAAAAAATAAAAAATAAAAAATAATAATAAATAAATATATATAAAAGTCAAAATTTAATCTACGTTCGGGGTGCTTAAATATTGATTATCTAACCTATTTAACCTATTAATACCCCACGTTTAATTCTCCACAAGTTGCACATACGATCATCATCATTCATCAGATCAAATCTTGCAGGTATTGTGGCTTTTATGGCGCTTACACAAAGGTGGCTTGGTGGCTTTATTATCATATGACAAAAATTCTATACATAGAAGGTGATGCAACTTTTGCTTGGCGCTTCTTTAAAATAATAGTACCTGCTTAATTTAGTTATCCGTGTTTTTTTTTTCTTGGCATTTTTAAAGAAATTTATTGGATCAAATGATCAAATTTTTAATTTATTTCGTATTACACAAGATGCATCGGATATTCAATATTTTTAAATTATCTCTATGAATTCCTAATCGATTAAATGACAACAAAGTTCTTTTTCTAATTTAGGGTAATCTTTATTATTCAAATATTACAATTGACCATCTCTTGCACATTTTACTAAAGTATGATATACGGGAAGTATTGGAGATCAATCTTTAATGCATTATTATTTTGTCATTACATAATCATTGGTTCGTGAAAATTTCAAATTATATAAATAAATATATACTAAATATGTAACACGAGAAATACCTTATTTTGAACAAGCTACATATGATTATTTTAATTTTATATCTTTACTACGAGAAATTGATCATTTGAACAAATTTTATTTCTGGAAAACAAAGTATTTTAAGCGATCAATTACTTTATTTTAAGTAACTAACTTGTTCTGATTTTTTTTTTATCTTTTTAAAAATTTTCAGAGATTTTCCCCTTACAGTATATTACAATAATACATAATTGTGATTACATGTATTTATTTATTGTAACCGTCACAATTAGTAATTGTAACCTGTTTAAAAACATTGCCGTTAAATTAATATATCAAAATATTATTTATAAAAGGAAACGAACAAATAATACAAAAAATACAAAAAATACCTCGCAAAAAAATTTCGTTTTTTACAAACACACACACACATATATATATATTACATTATATTCATAAATATTATATGTTTATACATAAATTCATATAATCATGGTGGAAGATGATACGTTACCATTATATCTAAAATCAACTGAATCATCAAATCCTACTCGAAAAAAAGTAATGTTTAATATTTACAAAAAATTCGTAATTTATGGTTTCTTAATTGCGCTGTTAATATTTATTAGTTATATTGCAACTTGTAAATTATTATTTCTTTGCGATGAGAATTCTACATCAGTTGATAAAACATATGACAATTCTCCATCAAATAATTTAGTAAGTTCTTGTAATTATTAATAATGATTTTTCGATTTTTTTTTTAAAAAAAAAATTCTTAAATTTTCTTAATTCTTTTTAGGGATTAAAAATTGATAAATTATTTGTTGAAGTTAATAATTGGAAAAATGACGATAATGATGTAGAAGATTTCGATTGGACCGAAATAACTCAATAACCGGAAACATTATATATATATATATATTACATTCTTTATAGAAATGACTGATTTTAAAAGCATTTACGGTGTTTGTTAAGAGTGGTTATATGTGTTGAAATTTTTAATTCAAATTTTTACTATAAATTTTTACTGTAAAATTTTTAGGGTTATGAATTTTTGTTGATTTATTTCATATGGCTTCTGATTAATGCTGTATATTCACTCATAAACATTATTTTTTATCATTAAGTTCAAATAAGTTTTTTTTTTTTTTTTTTTTTGATTTATTCAATTTTATGTAATCTTTATTTTTAAGCATTAATTAAAATAATGCGAGATATTAAAAAAAATTTTGTAAAGTAAGTTTCTACATTTCTACAATAACGTCAGCAGTCACTTTTTCTTATTTTTTTTCTCAAAATCCTGAATAATCTTATCCTATATGATTTGCTTCGTTCTAAATCGCGTTTGAAGGTCGCAGTCCCGTTTGATGGTCGTAGTCGCAGTCCATTCTAAATAATGTTACATAACATAATTTCTAGAAGGTTAATCTTTTCTAACCAATACAATAATAATAAAAAAATGAACTAATTAATAGATATTCTAACTAAATTTTTTATTAAATTCTTTTTACAATTTGTATAGGAATTAAAATTCAATTTCTAAAAAAATTATGAAATATAAATTCTCACAAATATTTGAACATAACAGGTACGATTGAGCAGAAATTATTTTTTATATGATCGTGATAATATGCACCCTGGTTGTAATATAATAGTTTTAAATAGAATATAAACCAATAATCCTTTAAAAAATTTATTCCGTGTTATTTTGTTCCATATCATTTCCGTAAATAAATATTTATAACCTCAAAACATGAAAATTATCCAAATTGTAAATGGAAATTACTAATGAAATTCAAAATTTGAATAGAAATCGTAATTCGAGTAATATCCATGTTCAATAATTAGGTTGCCAATCCCTGTAATCCCGTTGGATAACTGTTGCATGGGAAACATGCATATAGTGTCTTTTTGGAATTAAGAATCCGAACTCTTTGAAAAAAAAATTCTTAATAATAAACAATGTTCGGCCGAAAGATATTAAATCATCTTCTATCAAAAGATATTAAGTTCTATCTCACTTTTTTTGCACACAACAAATACAATAAATTGATATTTATGTTTAATTTAATTTGCAGTAAAAAATGTTTAATCTGCAGTAAAAAAAATATTTCACGTTTAATTTAATTTGCAGTAAAAAAATATTTCATGTTTTATAACAATATTATAAAATAATATAAAATTAAATTGATAAAGAACCTTTAAAAGAAGGTCAGAGTGAAATCGTAGGAATAAAATAAATCAGAATAATTTAACTGATGCGCAGTGTCACTCAATATCTATTATCCCTCTGGTATTCCCGAGGATATGCATGAAAGCAATATGTGTCAGGTGCCTCCAATCACAATCTTTCCATCCAGCATCTCTTATAACAGTTACATGACAATCTGTAACGTACAACAGACCGCGTTAAAGTCTGGACCAACCTCAAGTTTGTATGCCATGTGTGGTTAAATAAATTAGGACAGAAAACTATTAACATTTGCTATTGCATATTTAGGCGTTTTACCTTGTTATGTGAAATCATGAGTGAGAATGTTGCATGGTGATCGCAAATAAGTGCTATTGACAAGAATAAAAAAATTATTACGTTCTTGGTACAAAGTAGCAGAAAAGAATTTTTAACGTTAAGGATGCATTCAAACCTATTTTAGCAGGTTTGCCGTTTACTTATTCTTGAAATTGTGAGTAGAGACTTTTTTTTTATATAAGCCATTAGGGGGGGGGTTGGTTTAAATTCATAAGATTAATCGGCACGGAGAAATAATATGGTTTCCATTATAGAAAAAAGGGGTTTATTTTACCGACCGACAATTATTTTACCGATAAACATTTCGCCGACAGTTAATCCATCTTATCCTAACTTAGTCCTAACCCTAATTTCTTTATCAAATCCTAACTCTAATCCTAAATTCCCTTGTTGGTGAGATAATTGTCTGTGATTGTCTGCGAAATGAATAAAAAGCTATTTCAAAATCAGTAATTTTTCATTAGAATTTATGATTAGATTTCTATTGTATAATGAAACTTGATGTTATTTGTATATTACATGTGGTCTCATTAAATAAGATGGTTTTTATTAGAATTCATAAAGAAAAAAGCCATTCTAAATTAATTGTTTGAAAAAATTGAGAGTGGAAGAAGTTTAAGTCAAACAAACAAAATAAAATGAACATAGAGAATCTATAATTTTCAGATAACGGAGAAATAATATGGGCATTGATCTATAAATATCATTATATGTATTATTCAAAAGATAGCTAGCATGTATAGAAACAGTATTATTTTATTAAGGAAGCATTTGTCATTTCGGCTGATCATTAAATACAATATTAACGATAATAATACTGCATGCAAAAAATAAAGAACTAGCCTTGTGAAGTGATGCCGTCTTCTTCTAATTCGTCTTCTACTGTTTCAGCATTGATTAGAGCTTTGGTTACTGTGAAAATTAAAGGTACGTTCATAGTTCTTCCTTTGTTAATTTTTCCTTCCGCTAATCAACAATGCATTTACTTTTCTAAGCCAATCATTCGACTTAACTGATGGGTCTTAATTGAATTATAATCAAAGCAAAAAACCAACGTTGTTGAACCTATTAAATCACTAAGAACTAAATACAAGTAGACACTAAAAATATACTAAACAGTTTACAACCCCTATCTGTTTTGATACCTATTATTTTGATCAATTTTTTGATTATAGCCCTCTTGCTAGCTGGAGAACTATCAACACTAGCACGATCCCTCAACAATCTAACAATAATACCAATCACCATTTTCACGTTGCTTCGAAGTAATTCAGGATTTTCTTTGGCAGCAGAATAGCAGATTCGTGTAATTTGGTACTTGCTACCACTAGAGTATATTTCATATGGAGTATATATAATCACTAGTTGATTGGCAATCACTTGCTTGATTTTTATATTTTCTGCATACATATCTTCTAATACTTGTCAATCCATTCTACACATAGTCCATGCGATATGATAAAATACCACTCCGAACCTGTGACACAATATCATAGAGATAGTCGAAATAATCGTTCCCAAATGCTTGATCTGTAGTTCGTTTTTTCTTATTTGTTTGGTATACACTTTCAAGTTGCGCCAGATTCTAAGAAATAAGCATCATTAAATGTATTAAATGTTTTTGATCTTTCAAAAAGCATGAATATGAGCAGTAGGCTTACCTGAGTATATCCAATTTTATATTGCATGGTTTCCCCTCGGTGATAAAAAGGTGGTCTTCTCAACCTTTGATTGTGTAGTCAACTTGACGGTTGAATCTTCACCAGAAATATCTTTTTGTGCTGTTCTCCTCAAATACGAGGCCACTAATGCAATTGCTCTTTCCTCACTCATTTTATTGGCTATACAAGCCCGACTAAATGCTTCTAACCATTCAAGGGGATCTTGGTTCCCTCCCTTGAATACTGGAAAGTCTACTAGTATAGATTCTCTGGGTTCTAATGGCAATTGATGCATGAAGAATCGATGAAATAAATTCATTTGCAACTGTCATTGTCTTAAAAGACACAAAAGATTCGAATTTGAAAAAAAGATTTGAGATTGGAAGCAGTGTAAATCGTTTTAAATTTCCGCGCATGTGATTGAATGTAGATAGGCGCGATATATATAAGAGCGCATATGACTTCATAGGTTGCGCACAAAACTTTTATGTATAATGTGCGTTCCTCACATATAAAAATAATCTGAATTTCCAATACTGAATTCATCGTCATTGAACTCCTTGAACCTGAGAAGAAAAAATATGTTATTATACATGATGCATTACTATGGGTAACTGCTCCAATCTAAAAAAAAAATTTAATAGTCACCCACCAGGAGTAAACTGTTTGATGCTTGTTATATCTTCCCCATTGACCTTATTTCTACGCAACATTTCCATCAAGTTGTTGAGAGTTTTATGGGGAATAATCTGGCTGAGGTCTTCAATAAATTTTGCAAGTAAATCCATGCAGTTGGCACAACGTGCATCGTTTTAAATTTCCGCTCGTATGAATATAAGTATCTATTCCCGTCAACTTTCGCGTTTTCACAAGTGACTTTTTAGTTCTTTGCTCAGATCTTTCACAAAACCTTTCTCAGAGATTCTTTAATAATTTGCCAGACTGCGCCAGCTCCAATCCCTACGATAGTTGTTAACCCAACATAGAACGGTGCACCTTCGGGAACTTTAGCTAATAGTGAAAAATTAATCCTTATAAATTTTATTATAACATGAAGATTGAAAATATGATAATTCCCTTGTAATTCATATACTTTTCTTTTAACATTTCTTAATTTGGACATGGATGAAGTAGATGAAGAAGTTTGTGAAGACATTGGTTTTCATATATATGTTTGTGCTTGCGAAAAAATTATGCATCCGACTGCAGTTACAACCTGCAGCATATGCACCGTGCTATTAGCATCATAGCTTCTGATTTTCCATTATTTAAAGGTGTGTTCCCCTTTCCGAGCTAATATTGCTGCTTTCCATACAAAAGGCCTTCCCTCTGATGTCATTAAAACTACACCTAATAATTGTTCATAATTGTTCACTGTCCAGCCATCAAATATAAGTGTAATACCTACAGGATCTTCTCTCAATGCAATTTCTATTGTATCACATCATCCAAAATTAATCTATTAAGAGTCTTACGATCAGGAAGTTTAAGAAAAGGATTAAGAACCTCAAATAGTTCTTTTGTTTCGGGATTATTAACCAATGCAACGCGCATCCACAAGGAACTGTTAACAGAATTAATAATGTATTAAATCTTTTTTGTCTTCTTTTGTTAATGATTTAACGATAAAATTATCAAGTGGCCAATAAGAAGAACGATCCAGAAGAATCAGAAAATGTGGAAGTAGTGTCACTGAGGTGTAAA